TTATTCAGCCACTAGCTGAGAGGACCATGTATATGTACATATGTATGCATATCACATATATGTGTAGATATACTGTATACCCATGTCATATGTATGTGTAGATATAAGGATGACCATTAACAGATAAGACAGGGGTACATACATTCTCCTTTTCCACCCGTACCTGTCACTGAACTGGCCAGCTCTGCCCACAGTAAGCACATGATGCTGCCAGCAGATGCTGTAACAGCCATCCTGTCTGCAGCAACGACGTCATGTTGGAAGGAGCCCGAGGAAGCAAAGCAGAGAGAGTCCCCATCTCAGCCTCAGCAGGAGAACACAGCTCACCGGCCATCTACCGAAGCAGTCTGTGCTCGAGTCAGCAGCCCCTATACTAGAACTGGAACCAGTTATTTAAGCAATCCACCCCCAAAACTCACACAGTCGTGCTGGTTCGCCCCGGTGGTGTGGCTCAGTGGTTGAGCATCGGCCCGTGAACCAGGAGGTCACACAGTTCAATTTCTGCTCAGGGCACATGGGCTCTATTCCCAGTAGGGGGCAGCCAACCAACGATTCTCTCTCATCACTGATGTTTCTATCCCTCTTGCCCTCTCCCTTCCTCTCTGAAATCAATTTAAAATTTTTAAAAAATATATATGTATATATGTGATCGTGCTGGTTTAAATGTAAAAGGAATAATTGCTTGGATAACAAGACACCTCAAATGCTCAAGTTGCACAAACATACAAGGATCCCTTGTTTTTCACTCTCCACGTACCTGCAAAGTCGCCATCCTGGTTAAACGCACACATTGACAGGTGAACAGATTATCTTTCTACCAAGGAGTTTCCAAGCAAAGCTGCTGGCACGTTGCCTTCTCCCCGCAACATGGAGGCTGCTCTCGGACTGTGAGCTTGGTCTCGTCTCCTGTGAGCTCCCCTCACACGGCACTGAAATGTCTCTTCAGACTCATCCTGTGCTAAGTCATCTCCTGTATTAGGCTGCGAGGTCACTGCAGAAAGGGGTTACTCAGCTCAGACTTAGAGATGGAAGGCACTAGACATTGTGGGGATACAATAACTATCCCAGCAGTTTTGAGGAAATGATTCGGAAATGAAGCTGTAAGTCGGGTATCAGCAAAATTTACCTCAGTCATATAATATGCATAAAAGCAATAAGATTTTTCTAACTTTTATTTAAAAGACATTTTCATTGATTTCAGAGATGACGGGAGAGGGAGAGAGAGATAGAAATATCAACGATGAGAGAGAATCATTGATCGGTTGCCTCCTGCACACCCCCTACTGTGGATGGAGCCCACAGCCAGGACATGTGCCCTGACTGGGAATTGAACCCTGCCCTCCTAGTTCATAGGTTGACGCTCAACCACTGAGCCACACCACTAGGACCCAGCAGCATATTTTGGAGGCAGGGGTATAGGTAGGACCACGTTAACTGTGTTGGGTGAAATATCTCCAAATATCTTGAGTTCAGGTCAGCCATTACCCTAAGTAAACCAATAAGGCAAAAGTGGGAAGAAGGAATTAAAATTGAAATTACTTTTAAAATAAAAATTCCTGAGGTCCCTGCTGCCACCCCAGCGAGGGCAGGGTGACAGCATGCTCTTGCCAGGAGGCGGGGGACGTGGCCTCCAAGGCCCCTCGGGGCTGGCACTGGGGCAGACAGTCTGCCAGGGGGAGAGGGGACAAGTGCCAGGGAGGAGACACAGACAAGCCCTTGATTTTTTAAATTGTTTTATTGCTTAGTATTACAAAAAGGTCTCCTTTTTTCCCCTGCCCTTGACAATCCCCTGGCCTCCCCTACCCCCCATTACAAAGAGTATTACATATGTCTCCTTTTTTTTCCCCCGCCCTTGACAATCCCCTGGCCTCCCCTACCCCCCAGTGTCTTATGTCCATTGGTTATGCTCATATGCATACATACAAGTCCTTCGGTTGATCTCTTACCCCCGCCCCCTCCTGCCCCCCAACCCTCCCTGGCCTTCCCGCTGTAGTTTGACAGTTTGTTCAAGGCAGCTCTGAAGCCCTTGATTTTTGTCACAGCTTGTGCTCTCATCGCCCTTGGACACACACATGTACACACACACACGTACACACGTACACACGTACACACACACACACGACTCCTGACCCGTTCCTTGGGCCCGAGAGCAGCACAGCCCGTGCAGTGGCCTCTGGTCCTCTTGGTTAGCTCAGCCTTGCGATGCTCACCAGGGCGGCCGCCTCGGGAAAGTCCCCAGAGCTGGGCCCCGTGACAAGCCGGCTTGTCTGATGTGGGATTTCTACAAACAGGTCACTCGGGAGGCTGCAGGGGGCTGGAAAGAGACCCCTAGGGTTGGGGGTCCGTCGGCCCCGAGTTCAAGCCTCACTGTGACTTCTAACTGGCTACGTGACCTTGGGCCAGTGAGCCGCTCCGTGAGGAGCTGAAGCCGTGACCGAGCGTGCCTTAGGCTGGGACTTGCGGGACTCACTTGGGAACCACACTCATCCGTTAGTCGAGGGCAAGCATAGGTGGGCTATCAATACACCTGGTTGGCAAACACCAGTGAGAGCTTTCTAAGGGACTCGATGGGCTGTGTGCATACATGTGTATATACATGTGTATGTATGTGTGTGCATACAGATAAACATAGTCCCTCCTCTTCCTCTGGTTGGTTGATAAACATTTGGCTGGATGCTTCCTTCCCAAGGTTTGTGCGACGTTTTCTAATTTTCTCACTTTGCTGTTCTCCCAGGGAGAGCCCCTCTGGTGCCACAGGTGACCCCACCCTCTCTGCAGGCAGACCTCGGCCCTGAGCTGTCACTTGGATGTTTCCCACCCCCCAGACCACACAGCTCCCAGGCCAGGGTAGAGGTGGGGCCCTGGAGCTCCACGGGGCATGGTTTGGGTGCCCCCTCAGCAACGGGACCCCATGGTACTGCCCAGGGGGGTCCACCACCTGGGTTGGCTGGGTATGTGAGCGAGACATCAGAGTTGGAAGCAGCTGAGGGAGTGATGGGTAGGACACGGGGAAGAGAGAGGGGGATGCCCAACATGGTCTGGGGGAAGGGGACAGAGGTGATGAGAGGAGGCGCACAGAGGCTTTGGTGGGGAGGATGGTGAACCGTGTGCTGAGCATTTTGAGTTGGAGGTGTCT